TTTCTGCCACTCCGTGCTCCCCTGCATGTATTTCTGCCACTCCGTGCACCCCTGCATGTATTTCTGCCACTCCGTGCACCCCTGCATGTATTTCTGCCACTCCGTGCTCCCCTGCATGTATTTCTGCCACTCCGTGCACCCCTGCATGTATTTCTGCCACTCCGTGCTCCCCTGCATGTATTTCTGCCACTCCGTGCTCCCCTGCATGTATTTCTGCCACTCCGTGCTCCCCTGCATGTATTTCTGCCACTCCGTGCACCCCTGCATGTATTTCTGCCACTCCGTGCACCCCTGCATGTATTTCTGCCACTCCGTGCTCCCCTGCATGTATTTCTGCCACTCCGTGCACCCCTGCATGTATTTCTGCCACTCCGTGCTCCCCTGCATGTATTTCTGCCACTCCGTGCTCCCCTGCATGTATTTCTGCCACTCCGTGCTCCCCTGCATGTATTTCTGCCACTCCGTGCTCCCCTGCATGTATTTCTGCCACTCCGTGCTCCCCTGCATGTATTTCTGCCACTCCGTGCTCCCCTGCATGTATTTCTGCCACTCCGTGCTCCCCTGCATGTATTTCTGCCACTCCGTGCTCCCCTGCATGTATTTCTGCCACTCCGTGCTCCCCTGCATGTATTTCTGCCACTCCGTGCACCCCTGCATGTATTTCTGCCACTCCGTGCACCCCTGCATGTATTTCTGCCACTCCGTGCTCCCCTGCATGTATTTCTGCCACTCCGTGCTCCCCTGCATGTATTTCTGCCACTCCGTGCTCCCCTGCATGTATTTCTGCCACTCCGTGCACCCCTGCATGTATTTCTGCCACTCCGTGCACCCCTGCATGTATTTCTGCCACTCCGTGCACCCCTGCATGTATTTCTGCCACTCCGTGCTCCCCTGCATGTATTTCTGCCACTCCGTGCTCCCCTGCATGTATTTCTGCCACTCCGTGCTCCCCTGCATGTATTTCTGCCACTCCGTGCACCCCTGCATGTATTTCTGCCACTCCGTGCACCCCTGCATGTATTTCTGCCACTCCGTGCTCCCCTGCATGTATTTCTGCCACTCCGTGCACCCCTGCATGTATTTCTGCCACTCCGTGCTCCCCTGCATGTATTTCTGCCACTCCGTGCTCCCCTGCATGTATTTCTGCCACTCCGTGCTCCCCTGCATGTATTTCTGCCACTCCGTGCTCCCCTGCATGTATTTCTGCCACTCCGTGCACCCCTGCATGTATTTCTGCCACTCCGTGCACCCCTGCATGTATTTCTGCCACTCCGTGCACCCCTGCATGTATTTCTGCCACTCCGTGCTCCCCTGCATGTATTTCTGCCACTCCGTGCACCCCTGCATGTATTTCTGCCACTCCGTGCACCCCTGCATGTATTTCTGCCACTCCGTGCTCCCCTGCATGTATTTCTGCCACTCCGTGCTCCCCTGCATGTATTTCTGCCACTCCGTGCTCCCCTGCATGTATTTCTGCCACTCCGTGCACCCCTGCATGTATTTCTGCCACTCCGTGCTCCCCTGCATGTATTTCTGCCACTCCGTGCACCCCTGCATGTATTTCTGCCACTCCGTGCTCCCCTGCATGTATTTCTGCCACTCCGTGCACCCCTGCATGTATTTCTGCCACTCCGTGCTCCCCTGCATGTATTTCTGCCACTCCGTGCTCCCCTGCATGTATTTCTGCCACTCCGTGCACCCCTGCATGTATTTCTGCCACTCCGTGCACCCCTGCATGTATTTCTGCCACTCCGTGCACCCCTGCATGTATTTCTGCCACTCCGTGCTCCCCTGCATGTATTTCTGCCACTCCGTGCTCCCCTGCATGTATTTCTGCCACTCCGTGCTCCCCTGCATGTATTTCTGCCACTCCGTGCTCCCCTGCATGTATTTCTGCCACTCCGTGCACCCCTGCATGTATTTCTGCCACTCCGTGCACCCCTGCATGTATTTCTGCCACTCCGTGCTCCCCTGCATGTATTTCTGCCACTCCGTGCACCCCTGCATGTATTTCTGCCACTCCGTGCTCCCCTGCATGTATTTCTGCCACTCCGTGCTCCCCTGCATGTATTTCTGCCACTCCGTGCACCCCTGCATGTATTTCTGCCACTCCGTGCACCCCTGCATGTATTTCTGCCACTCCGTGCTCCCCTGCATGTATTTCTGCCACTCCGTGCACCCCTGCATGTATTTCTGCCACTCCGTGCTCCCCTGCATGTATTTCTGCCACTCCGTGCTCCCCTGCATGTATTTCTGCCACTCCGTGCTCCCCTGCATGTATTTCTGCCACTCCGTGCTCCCCTGCATGTATTTCTGCCACTCCGTGCTCCCCTGCATGTATTTCTGCCACTCCGTGCTCCCCTGCATGTATTTCTGCCACTCCGTGCTCCCCTGCATGTATTTCTGCCACTCCGTGCTCCCCTGCATGTATTTCTGCCACTCCGTGCTCCCCTGCATGTATTTCTGCCACTCCGTGCACCCCTGCATGTATTTCTGCCACTCCGTGCACCCCTGCATGTATTTCTGCCACTCCGTGCTCCCCTGCATGTATTTCTGCCACTCCGTGCTCCCCTGCATGTATTTCTGCCACTCCGTGCTCCCCTGCATGTATTTCTGCCACTCCGTGCACCCCTGCATGTATTTCTGCCACTCCGTGCACCCCTGCATGTATTTCTGCCACTCCGTGCACCCCTGCATGTATTTCTGCCACTCCGTGCTCCCCTGCATGTATTTCTGCCACTCCGTGCTCCCCTGCATGTATTTCTGCCACTCCGTGCTCCCCTGCATGTATTTCTGCCACTCCGTGCACCCCTGCATGTATTTCTGCCACTCCGTGCACCCCTGCATGTATTTCTGCCACTCCGTGCTCCCCTGCATGTATTTCTGCCACTCCGTGCACCCCTGCATGTATTTCTGCCACTCCGTGCTCCCCTGCATGTATTTCTGCCACTCCGTGCTCCCCTGCATGTATTTCTGCCACTCCGTGCTCCCCTGCATGTATTTCTGCCACTCCGTGCTCCCCTGCATGTATTTCTGCCACTCCGTGCACCCCTGCATGTATTTCTGCCACTCCGTGCACCCCTGCATGTATTTCTGCCACTCCGTGCACCCCTGCATGTATTTCTGCCACTCCGTGCTCCCCTGCATGTATTTCTGCCACTCCGTGCACCCCTGCATGTATTTCTGCCACTCCGTGCACCCCTGCATGTATTTCTGCCACTCCGTGCTCCCCTGCATGTATTTCTGCCACTCCGTGCTCCCCTGCATGTATTTCTGCCACTCCGTGCTCCCCTGCATGTATTTCTGCCACTCCGTGCACCCCTGCATGTATTTCTGCCACTCCGTGCTCCCCTGCATGTATTTCTGCCACTCCGTGCACCCCTGCATGTATTTCTGCCACTCCGTGCTCCCCTGCATGTATTTCTGCCACTCCGTGCTCCCCTGCATGTATTTCTGCCACTCCGTGCACCCCTGCATGTATTTCTGCCACTCCGTGCACCCCTGCATGTATTTCTGCCACTCCGTGCTCCCCTGCATGTATTTCTGCCACTCCGTGCACCCCTGCATGTATTTCTGCCACTCCGTGCTCCCCTGCATGTATTTCTGCCACTCCGTGCACCCCTGCATGTATTTCTGCCACTCCGTGCTCCCCTGCATGTATTTCTGCCACTCCGTGCTCCCCTGCATGTATTTCTGCCACTCCGTGCACCCCTGCATGTATTTCTGCCACTCCGTGCACCCCTGCATGTATTTCTGCCACTCCGTGCACCCCTGCATGTATTTCTGCCACTCCGTGCACCCCTGCATGTATTTCTGCCACTCCGTGCACCCCTGCATGTATTTCTGCCACTCCGTGCACCCCTGCATGTATTTCTGCCACTCCGTGCACCCCTGCATGTATTTCTGCCACTCCGTGCACCCCTGCATGTATTTCTTCCCCGCTTCGCCATCCACACCACCTCCCTCGCCTTGCCTCCCATGTCTCCCCGGTCCTCACCGCCCTCAGGTTGAGTTCGTGGTGTCTGACCCCTCTCTCTCGCCCTGACCTCGCCTCCCATGCTCTGCCATGCTGGGCCGAGGGCTCACCAAGTGACATGAAGAGGGTGTGACGTGGTTGTGCCTCTACAATGATCCGTTGCTCACTTGACGGAGATCACTACTGTACCTCGTGTGTCGTGTTTTGGTCGTCCTTTGTGCAACTGGTTATTGATCAAAGCATGTAGGGATTGCACCTACGGTTATAATCAAATTGATTGTTGTGGAATCAAGTGTGCTCCAGGGGGGTATAAACAGCTTGAAAGGAAACTACGGTACCTAGGATGTTTCATTAAGTAAAGACACTGGCATAAAAGCACATATATTCAACACATGAATACTTGTGAGCAGGCCCTCAGATATCAGGTTTTTTACCCTGATTTGACTGATTTTCAGCCCTTTTTTCTGTGACAACCCTGAACTTTCAGCCTTTTTTATTTTGTAACCCTGAAATTTCAGCCTTTTTTTATGGAAGGGGACTGATTTCTCAGCCTTTTATCAAAAGTGTACACTGAAAAACACCCAAGATCAACATTTTCGCATCACAGGCGTAGAAATTACGAATACATTTGCCTTCGTCAGCATAAACTGTTCCAGTCGTTCGCGTAATCATACCGAAAGTGATGGCTCAGGTTTAATTCCCTGAGCCATCGTAAGTAGCTGAGCCTGCACCCGCTTGAAAGTAGAGATATGAGTAATAAGAGATAAGCCTTTTTTTTTTAGGAACCCTGAAATTTCAAGCTTTTTTTTTTAGGAACACTGACAATCAGCCTTTTTTTCTCAGGGACCCTGATGCATCAGGGTTCCTAAAAGTGAATCTGAGGGCCTGCTTGTGAGTCACATCACATGGAGCATGCATCACGGTGTTATCTACCACACTCCCTCCATGGCGCTTCCGCTGCACGCCACCAAGATGGAGACAGCGACTCAGGGTCTCTCACATGAGGACCCATGCCTCCCTCGCATCACATCACACTCCACTTGCACCAAGTGCCACCGAGTGCCAGGGGCTGTCGACAACTCGCATGGCACAGCCTCGCGTGACTCGTGTCGTGCTGCGCATGTCCGCCGCCATGCGGTGCTTTGCACGCGAGCATTGGCACCTGCGCGCACAGGGAGGGGAATGAAACCAAGTCAGAGGTGCTAGAGCGGGAGAGACGCACGATGGGGAGGCACAGCACGGGCAGCGCGGGTGTGAGTGTGAGCGTGCAATGTCGGAGGAGCGCGCCCACAAGACAGGGCGCCCTCCCCCCATGGCACGCTCGCCGTCACTTTCCGCCCTGTAAGGACCCTCGGATGGAAGGCGCTGCGCGCAGCTGATGCCAATCCGACGGTCTTCGTAGAGCGATGCGCGCCTCTTGCATTCTCTCGCAAGCATATATCGCACAAATGGTTCGAGATGTGAGGGACGAGCCGCGCACCCGATGTGTTGCGAGCCGCGCTGAGAGCCGCGAGGTTACGAGGAACGACACGCGCCTGACCGCGCCTGCCATCAGTCGATGCCCCGCACCTGTCCCGCTCCGGGTGCCCCAGCCATGCGCACTGCGAAGCACTCGCATATTGGGGGGAGAGGGGGAGGGGAGAGGAGGGAAAGGAAGAGCAGGACGGGAGGGGGAAGACGGCAAGGAGGAGACCAGGTTAGAGGGCGGCGGTGAGAGGCGTAGAGAGAGGGCCAGCAGCACGGGAGAAAGGCGAGACGAGCAGGAGCGAGTGAATGTGCGGCGGTGCGGAGAGCGCGCGTGGCGAGAGGCACGCGCACTCGAAGGAGCACCGGCGGCGGGATGCGAGGCCCACGGCGGTCGCTGTGCGCTCTCATGGAACCGACGGCCACCGCGCCCCCTCCGCTTGCACTGCGAGGGCGAGCCGGCGGTTCTTGGGAGAGCGCGTCGAGGAGCGAAAAAAGAAATCGCGGAACGAGCAGCGCGGAACGCGGGAAGCTGACAACAAAATTGTAAGCGGCAAGGCGAAAGGTAGGAACGGACCGATATGTTGGCGCGAGAGAGTGCGATCACTCAAGGCATGCCCCACGGCAGCATTAGGAGCCGCGAGGCACGGACGTGAAGGCAGCAGAGAGCAACTGAAGAGTGAAAGGGTTTCTGGGTGAATGAGATGGTACTTTACTGGTGTATTCAATCTCCTCCCCCCTGAAACCCAGAACCACGCATTTATCGTGTTTGAGACCTGGCTTGTGAACGTGAGGCACGCTCCAGAGTCGTGGCTAGTCGTAGTGCAAGCTGGTTGTGAGTAGTGGTGAGCGGTTGAGCGCCTTCCCGAACCAACCAGGACCAAGGCAAGGCGTTCTGCAATACGTCCCCAGGGTTTCCAAAAATCCAACAATGCTAATCAGGATTCCTAAAATCCAAAAGTAATCCCTGATCCTATCCCATTATTTTTTTGAGCTTTTTCCCAGTGCCTTTTTGCCAGGAGACTACGGTACACACTGCTTTGCTTTCTCATCTTAGCAACATTTCTACAACACTAAATATCGGTTAGGAACAGCGCTGCAGGTACGAACGCAACACTGCATATCAACAATAATGACGAAGCAACTCTGCCCTAAATTTTCCTACTTCACTCCATATGGCACCATGGCACGAGCCGTATAAAACATGTTCGCATCCCAGTGCTCACAGGCGCTCTGGATGCGGAAACGCAGCTGACCTACAAATGAAATTGGCCCACGGCAGAGCAAGTGCTGGTGGAAGCAACAACGCCTGGGTGCCTAAAATACCCTCTACAGATGACAGACGCGTGGGGATGCAAATAGGGAATGGGACATGATAAGCCGATGCAGGAGCAGAGGAGCCACAGCGCTACGACACCGCTGCCACCTTCACATCTGCGCCCACACCTGGACGCACCACACCCCCCTCCAAACCCACATGCTGCGACTCTCCCCCTCCCCCACTGCCCCCCGACGGCCGTCGTCTGTGCGCACTGCTCCCCCCGCTGCCCCCGGCGCTGCTGCCCCCGCTTCGCGACGGTGACACGCCCACCACGCTGCGCTTGGGCCGGGCAGCCCCCCGCGGCGACCCCTCTCGCATGGGCGACCACCGCCGCCGCGGACTGCCCTCCGCCGCCGCCCCGCGCATGCCGCCCGCACTGCTGCCGGTGCCACTGCCAGGCCGCCTGGGGCTGGCGCGGCGCGGGCTGAACTCCACGGCGAACGTGGACACGGGCCGCCCCCGCGGACTCACCTCCACCGCCACACCACGCCCCCCGCTGCTGCTGCTGCGCACCACCGCTCGGTCCTCCCCTCCCCCTCCCCCTCCTCCACCCCCGCCTCCTCGCTCAAGGCTGCTAGTGCTGGCGACGGCGTTGAGTGAGTGGCTGTGGCCCTCCCCGCGCGTGGCAGCCAGCGCAGCAGCGACGCCGGGAGGAAGCTCGCCCTTGGCGCCCATGAGCATCCACGTCTTCTGGTCCACCTTGCTCTTCTCCGCCTGCCCCGCTCCCCCCGCCTTGCGTGTCGACATGCGCATCGGCCCACTGCTGCCCCCACCATGCCCCCCACTGCTGCCCCCACCGTGCCCCCCGCTGCTGCCCCCACCGTGCCCCCCGCTGCTGCCCCCACCGTGCCCCCCGCTGCTGCTCGGCCGCTGCTGCTCGCGCTCCCTCCCCTTCTCCCTGCCCCTATCCCCATCCCCCCCGCTCCCCAGCAGCCCGCCCGGCAGGACGCCGGACATGGACGCCGATGCAAACAGCGCCTCTACCTCACGCCGATGCCTCTCGTCCATCGAGCTGTTTCGCGATTTACTCTCGGATTTACCGGGCAGATGTGACAACTCCCCTGACCGGGTCTTGTGCAGGCGGGCCTTGGTGCTGCTGCTGTTGAGAGCAGCGCCCTAGAGACACACGCACAGGGGGGACGCGGAGGGTCAGTGGGCCAAGGGCAAGGGGGTGAGGGGCGAACACAGGCCGTGGCAGAGGCGAGCACACACGTGGTAAGGCGGTAGAGCACACGCACCCAGCATGACAGGCATCACATGCAGGAGCAGCAGAGCACGTGGGTTGGGCGCATGCAACACAGAAAGAACACTGGCATGACGCCACGGATCATGCTCGAGTAGACAAGGGGGGGGAGAGGGCAGGGCGCATGAGGAGGGAAGGGATGCGACACATACACGAGAGCCATGCTCGCTGCTGGGCCGCTGCTGCTGCTGCTGCTGCTGCTGGGCGGGTTGCTGCTGCGAGTGCAGCTGCTGCACCATCTGGTTGTGCATGGGGTGGAATCTCAAATCGGACGACCGTGACTCCCGCTTCTCCCGCTCCCGCTCCCTCTCCCGCTCCCGCTTCTCCCTCTCCTCCTTCTCCCTCTCGCGCTCCCTCTCGCGCTCGCGCACTTTCCGCAGAGCAGCGTCTCTCGACTCAGTGAGGTCGCGCGATGAGCCTGTTGAAAAGTCCTTGGGCGCGCCCGTGCCCGCCGCACTGCTGCCGCCCACACCCGCCACGCCAGCAGCAGCCGCCACTCCAGCCGCCGACAGCTCATGGCTCGTGGGGTTCACACCCCCCTTGCTCCTGCCCGCACTGCCCGTCCGCACCAGCCCCCCCTGCTTGCTCTCCCCTATCCCCACCTCCCCACTCACGTTCCTTGCCCCCACCCCCGCCCCGGCCCCGCCCCCTGCGGCGCCAGCAGCGGCGGCACCCGCAGAGGAGAAGGAGGGCCCCTGCACCCACGACGTGGTGGCGGACAAGCTCTTGCCGCCCGCCGCCGCCCCCCTGAGCTTGTCGTTGGCGTCGGCGGGTTTGAGCGCCTTGAGCCCGTCGGGCGTGTCGACGGCCTTGGCGCCGCTGAGCGCGTGCGGGCCCAGCCCCTGCAGGCCCGCTGCCAGCGCCATCTCCGCGGGACTGATGAACTTCTCACTCTTGCTCTTCGCTATCGCCGCCTTTCCCCCCGCCGCCTTCTGTGAGGGGGGGAGGGGGGAAGGAAGGGAAAGAGGGGGAAGAGGGGAGGGAATGAGGAAAGGAGGACGAGAGCATGGAGGAAACTGTTTCAATGGGGAGAATTGAGTGTGGCAGGTGGTGAGGGAGTGGGCGTGGAAGAGGTGGCCCACCGGCACATACGGGGTGCTGTATCCACCCCGTGGCAGCAGCGATGGCACGGCAGTGAAGCACGCACCTGGATGTTGATGGACTCCACCAGCTCCGCATTGGCGTGGGGCGCCGGCACGGCCCGGCTGGAGCGCTGCTGGCTCTGCTGCTGCAGCTGCGGCTGCTGCTGCGACGTGCTGCTGCGCTGCGCGCCCTGCCCCGCCGCCGCCTGCTTGCTGCTGGCGCTGCTGTCTAGCACCTTGCCTGCCCTCGCCCCTGCCGCCCTCTGCCTGCCACAGACGAGGTACCAGGGAGCAGCAGCGGCGCACAGGGAGGGGAATGCAGAGAGGACGGGATGCACGGTGACAGAGGTTGAGGGGGAGTCATGCACGCTACAGGGTTGAACGGTGCGCGCAAATGAGAGCAAGTAGGCGACAGGCAGCACAGCATTGATTGCTGGACGCGAAAACACACACACGTGCGCGAAGTGCAAGGGAGCGAGCAAGGAGCGGGAAGGGGGGGCGATGTGAGGGGCTGGGAGGGGCGGAGAGGGGCGGGGAGGGGCAAGAGGAAAGAGGAGACGCGGGTAAAGGCGGGAAGGGGAAGGAGGGGAGGGGCGGGAAGGGGCAAGAGGGAAGAGGAGACGCGGGTAAAGGCGGGGAGGGGAAGGAGGGGAGGGGCGGGAAGGGGCAAGAGGGAAGAGGAGACGCGGGTAAAGGCGGGGAGGGGAAGGAGGGGAGGGGCGGGGAGGGATGACCTGCGGGCCTCTTCGTCGCGCAGCTTGGCGTCGTACTCCTTGCTGGGCGGGTACTGCGGTAGACTCGCCGGGTCGCATGGCAGCGGCTTCGTTGTGAAAAACTGCCGGGCACGAGGGAGAGGGGGAGGAGGGGGGAGAAGGGGGAAGGGGATGAGTGAGGGGGAAGCAAGAGAGCATGAGGGGGAGAAGGGCGGCACATGAAGGGGAAAGCAGAGGGGTGGAAGGACGGGAAGCTTGTGGGGGTGAAGGAAGGGGGGCACGGCGCAGGCAGCAGCGATCGCTCAAGCCTGGAGGCGCCAAGGCGCGTTACCTCACACTCGCCGCCCCATACGGCCCCTCGCCTCACCTCGTGCGCCCCTCGCCTCACCTCGTGCACCCCTCGCCTCACCTCGTGCACCCCTCGCCTCACCTCGTGCGCGCCCATTTCCCCCTCTTCTCACCTCGTGCGCGAGCGCGGAGGTGGCGGAGCCGCGGTCGGCGGGTTCGATGGAGAGCAGCACGTCGAGCAGGTTGAGCGCCGTGGCGGGGAAGTCCTTGAACAGCTCCCTCAGCGCGCGCTTGTACGGCTGCGTCGGCTTGAAGATCGTCGCGTGCGGCAGCTTGGAGCGGCGCCAGTACTCCTCGCTGGGCGACCCGCACAGCTTGAATATCTTGTGCAGCTGCTCCACCTGCGCGCACGCGCCATTGGGGGCGGGAGGGGGGGCGGGGGGCAATGGGGGAGGGAGAACGGGGATGAAGGGTGGAGGGGGTGTGAACGGTGGACGGGTGGAAGAAAGGTTGGAGGGGGAAGGGGTGAGTGAGGAGTGAGTGGGAGCGGAGGCAGACGAAGGCCTGCGCGCGGCTCACCTGCACGCGACTCACCCGGGCACGGCTCACCCGGGCAGGCGCACGTGCGCGCGGATCACGTGCGCGCGGATCACGTGCGCGCGGATCACGTGCGCGCGGATCACGTGCGCGCGGATCACGTGCGCGCGGATCACGTGCGCGCGGATCACGTGCGCGCGGATCACGTGCGCGCGGATCACGTGCGCGCGGATCACGTGCGCGCGGATCACGTGCGCGCGGATCACGTGCGCGCGGATCACGTGCGCGCGGATCACGTGCGCGCGGATCACGTGCGCGCGGATCACGTGCGCGCGGATCACGTGCGCGCGGATCACGTGCGCGCGGATCACGTGCGCGCGGATCACGTGCGCGCGGATCACGTGCGCGCGGATCACGTGCGCGCGGATCACGTGCGCGCGGATCACGTGCGCGCGGCTTGCCTCACCTCGGTGCGGCCGGGCATGATGGGCTTCCCGGCGAGCAGCTCGGCGAGGATGCAGCCGCTGCTCCAGAGGTCCACGCCGACGCCGTACGTGGTGGCGCCCAGCAGCAGCTCGGGCGGGCGGTACCAGAGCGTGACGACGCGGCTGGTGAGCGGCACGTTCTGCTCGGGGCGGTAGAAGGTGGCGAGGCCGAAGTCGGCGATCTTGAGCGACCCCGTGTTGTCCAGCAGCAGGTTGCTGCCCTTGATGTCGCGGTGCAGCACGCCGTGCGTGTGGCAGTGCTCCAACCCCGCCACCAGCTGCTGCATGTAACACTTCACCTGCGCGCGCCACGTGGGACGGGAAGGGCACCAAGGGAACAGGGAGGTGGGGGACACGAAGGGGGGAGGAGGAACTAGGTGAGGAGGACGGCCGGAAAAGGCAGCGCGCAAGCCACGCAGCGACAAGCACGGAATAGCACGCGGCGGCAGCAACAACACAAGGCGCGCAGCGGCGCGGCAAGGGCCGAGCGGCAAGGGCAGGGCGGCGGACCTGCGCCTCGGTGAAGGAGATGCCGGGGCAGGCGGCGAGGCCGGCGAGGTCGTGCTCCATGTACTCGAAGACGAGGTACAGGCTGCAGCTCATGCGCGATGTCACCAGCCCCTCCAGGCGGATCACGTTCGGGTGGTCGAGGCGCCGCAGCACCTCGATCTCGCGCGCCATGAAGCGCACGCTCTCCGGCTCCAGGTTGTCGAACCGCACCTTCTTCAGCGCCACCAGCCGCCCGCTCTCCAGGTCGCGCGCCTTGTACACGTTGCTGTACGTGCCCTGCCCGATCTGCTCGCAGCGAGCGACGCGTGGGCGGTGTGGAAAGGGGGGGGAGGAAGGTTCAGGGTGATTGGCTTGGGGAATGGTGCGAGTGCGACGAGGTCAGCAAGAGCGCTGAAGGCACAAGCCAGAGTATGGACGGCCACGAAGCCCCGCATCGGCGCTTGTGAATGCGGCAGCCGATCCAATTACTTTGCATTAACAGTTGCCCACGGCGTCGTAGAATCAGGCGGCACTGTGCCAGGCGGCACTGTGCGACAGCCTGGCGGTGTGCGGCACTGTGCGGCAGCCTGACAGTGTGCGACATATTGCCGCCCGCAACGCCTCCCGCAACTCTAAATTCGAGCGGAGCCGAGCAGGTTGCATAATAGCGGTGGCTACGCGAGCATCGCGAAAACAAAGGCCAAACAGAGCAGGCGCGCAGATTAGAGAGAGCGTCTAGAGCACGCAACGCGAAGCGCGAGCGGAGAGAGAGTCCATCCCTCTCACTAGCGACCCACGATTCGCTCCCTTCCGTCCCACTCGCTGCTCGTGCTCTCGTTCCCTTCCCTTCTTTCCGTTCACCAACATCGTGAAGCAACCGCCTTCTCCCCTTCCATTCCCTTCCATTCCCTTCCATCAACCGCACACTCCCATCCCCCGGCACTCCCCTCCCAGCGCACTCGCCGCACGCGGCTCCCGACCGCCCACGACCTGCTCCCGAACGCCCGTTAGCGTCCGCGCGCGGCTCACCTTGTCGAGTTTCTCGAAGGAGTCGGCGCGGCGCGGCACCCAGCCCTTGATGGCCTCGCTGGCGACGGACGCGAGCCACGACGGCCACCCCGCCGCCACCTGCTCCGCCTCCAGGCTCTTGTGCACCTGCCGCGGCACCGACGCCACCGCCGCCGGCACTACCGCATCTCCCGCCCGCTCTCGATCCCGCTCCCGCTCTCGCTCCTTCTCCTTCTCCTTCTCCTTCTCCTTCTCCTTTTCCCGCTCCTTCCGTCTCTCCCGCTCCGCTCCCTCCTCCCCCGACCCCAGTTGCCCGCTCTGCCGCGAACTGCCCTTCGCCGCGGCCGGAGCTGCGGCTACCGCCGCTGGAGCGGCTGCTACTGTTGGCGGCGCCACTGGTTTGGCGGGGGGTGGGGGATCCTTTATGGAAGGGGGCTCCGGTACCACGGGGACGGCGGCGGGAGGCGGAGTGGCGGCTGGCGGTCTCTGCTGCTGCGAGGGAGGGGGGGGCTTCTCTGCGGCGGGTTTGTGAGGCGGAGAATCGTCGAGCGCACTGGGATGGGAGCACGCGCACCCCATGACGAGGCCGCAAGTGACCCAGCCCAGAGATAATGGACCTAGGCGCAGTGTGGGTGGCGCACCAGCCCTGGCTACCACCGCTAGCTACCGTTGGAATCGTCGGCGAATGATGACCGCAGCTACGGGTGTCCCCGAAGTGAGGAAATGAGGAGACTGTTAACCAAGAGTCTTGGACAAACTGCCTAGCGTTGGCTAAACTTGTAGAAGTGTCTTAACGTACTTTAAGTATTAAAAAGGATAAGCAGCGCGAGGGCTTACAGGGAGAGTAACTACCGCCCAGCATCCAGGATAATGCGTGTAAGAACATCTGTATCAGTAAGTGCCGCCACTTTAGACAAGCGAGTATTACTGTGTTTGCGTAACGCGTCCGTCACAGGCGTGAGGACTCCTACTTACCAAGCAGATCAAGGCGAACTCTGACACTAACGAGTTATGCCAGACTCCTACTAAGTCATTCTGCTCCTAATTTATAATAATGCGATAATAGCGTCGCGCGAATCGGGACGCCCGTCGACGATGACCTAAATGATTAGGCAGCGGAGAAGTTGAGGCAGTTGGTGATGGTTGTGAGACAGTGAGGGTTAGCAGGTGAGTTGGGTTAGTGTGGTGGCAGCAGGAATGATGATGATGGGGTGTTGTGGGTGTTGTTGGGTTGCTGGGGGGCAAATGCTGCTGGCTGGGAGCAGGAGGGAAGACGAGAAGGTGAGGCAGTCAAGTGTGCGTAGGTGAGCGGGGAAGTGTGCCAATGAAAGTGGGGGGGGGGAGGGGAGGCGGGAAATTTAGGACCAGGTATGGGGGAGGGCATGGCGGAGAAGCGCATGGTCCCGTGAAAGTGGATGCGGTGCGCGCAGGTGGCAGGTGGAGAACACGTTTGCCCTACTGGCATGCGCACAAACGAGGGAGGCGGGGGACACGCGGAATAGAATCCTCTGAAACTAGTTGTCGCACAGCTTGCACCAAAGCCAGGAACGCACAGGTGGAAGAAGATACTGTAGGGGGAGCGAGCGAGCCGCTGGTGTTGGAAAACGCAGGGATGTGCGGCTGCGAAAGCGGAACCACAAGGAGAGCGAAGAGCTTGACGACACTTTCCGAGCCTCTCAGGCTCGAGGTGAAGCACGACAACGAACCACGAGCAACAAAGCTCGCCGACCGGCGCGGGGAGCGAAAGCAAGGAGAGAACCCGCTTGTAACATGAAAGATCAAGCTAAATAGGGTTATGAGTTCTCAAGCAGTTATAAGTTATCAAATGGAGTTGCGCGGAAAACGAATCACGAAGCTGTGACTAAATGAATGACACAATATAGTGACTACCCTAGCTAGGCAGGAACCTCGGGTACGCAAGTTTGGGTGCAGGTTGGGCAAGCGAAAACCGAAGGAGACGCGAGGCAGCCTCGGTATCGTTGATGTCAGCCGAACGTGGAAGTCCGGAAGTGGGGGTTGTACGCGAAGGAGTTGTTGGGCTGAGAAAAGCCCTTAGGATCGTTTTCAAGACTAAGACTCAGAGTAGTGATGTATTAGCGGAAGCGTCTTAGTGAACTGGTTGAACCACCTTGCACTGTTATGTGAGAACAAGATACCGTTATACCCCGGATAGTAGCGCATATGCGCTTATAATAAATTATTTTTTTTTAAGGGGGGCGCTTGTAATTGAGTAACGGCCATGAGCGCCGGCGCTTTTATAAAGGCAAAAATGAATTTCTCTGTAAATGATATCATTCTGAAGCCGTGGAGAAGGCGAGTACAGCACTGTACCATGCACGCGGGGTCATGCATGGAATGACGTCGAAACTTGCCGCGGTTCGATTTCCCACCGCACAAAACCCGTCCCGGTGCAACGCACCTGCCAGCGCTGATGCAAAACCTGCCGTGCGGCCCAATCAGGTTGGCATGCGCTGCCAGGCAGGAGCATCTCGGCAGAACCATCCAGAACGTGATGGAATCTGACGTGCCAGCGCAGCATGGATGGTGCCCCCAACCCTCCTCTGCGGGTTGGGGCAGGGGTGTACTCGTCTCTCATCGACGAGGACCCCGAGCCGCAAACCAGAAGGGGTCCCCTTCAATCTCCCATTTCAACACCCAGGGTTGCAGTTTTTGATTCAGTCTTCATTTTCTCGCCCGCCTGGCTGCGGAAGCCATGGCGGAATTCACAGGCACTCATTTTCTCTTCAAGAAAAAACCTTCTAGTAGGCCCGCGTACCGTGTTACATCCGACGGGTGGTATAGCCGCATACCTCCAGACCCTCCAGAGCCACCACAGCCTCCTGCGCCGCCTGCTCCTCCGGCTCCTCCAGTGCCTCCGACTCCCCCTGCTCCTCCTGTTCCTCCTGTTCCTCCGTGTCCGGTGGCCCCTCACATCGACAACCACCCCGTGCTCACGCTCCTGCTCCCATCGGCGTTCGACGAGTATCTGTCGGAACCGGATTATGACAAGGGCCCCGATGTTGACGTGCCCGCTCCAGCGCCAGCACCACGTTGGGGCCAGCCAGAAGATTTCACGTGAGATGAATCTGCAGTCGGCGCTGATGACGACGTGCAAGACGCCGAGGACGGTTGGCGCACTGAGGCCGACACCGAGGCCGCTACTGAGGCCGGCACTGCTGAGGATGTGTTTCCCGAGGGTGCGCCGGGCGGTGACGACGACGACGGCGTCGAATACTGGTCACGCGATGGCCTCCCCGAGAAACTCCCGATACCAACTTATCCTCCACGTAATCGTAAGCGACCTCAACCTTCTTCACAGAACCGTGATTCTCGCCCCCCCTCTCCCAGGCACAAGCCCAACGACCACAAGCGTCAGGCCTATACTGCCGCCGAGAAGTTGAAGTGGGTCGCGCAGCTGGATTTGGCGGTGTCGGTGCGCGCTCTGGCTCGCGAGAGTGGCATCCACCGCAAGTGCCTCGCCAACTGGAAGCGTGCCGCTGATTTCCTCAAGGAAGCCCACTCTGCCAGGTGCCGCATGCACGGTCGCGGCAGGGCGTCGTGGTACCGCCCGATGGAGATTAAGGTGTATGAGCGACTGCTCGACTGGCGACGCAAGGGAACCGCGGTGTCCGTCGGCCGCCTGCAGGAGTGGTCCCGGGAGTTCATGAAGATTCTCTACCCCCTCGTGAAGTGGAAAGGGAGCCAACGGTGGTCGGACCGATTCCGTCGGCGGTGGAATCTCAGCGTGCGAATGAAGACGAAGGTCGCCCAGAAAACCGCCGCCCGTAAGAATCATTTTTATTCTCTATGCCATGTGTATGCACTTGTTACTCACTAACCGTAACTGTGCTCAACCGCAGATGTCGCGGAGCAATGCAAGAACTTCTGGCAATTCGTCAGTGACAAGCGTCGGGAGCGCGGCATCGAGACGACGTGGATTATCAACGCCGACCAGACGCCGCTGTGGCTGGAGATGCCCGCCACCACTACCGTCGATCAAACCGGTGTTCGGTCGGTGCCCATCAGGAGCGCAGGGTACCAGAAGGAGCGCGTGACCGTGATGTTGGCGTGCACGGCGGACGGGATGAAGCTGAGGCCGTGGGTTTTTTTCAAGCGGAAGACCGTGCCGAAAGGGGTGTTCCCGCTGGGTGAGTCAGGATTCTTGTTTGTTTGCTTTACATCGGTCTTTGTTTTTAAAGAGATTTACAGAAGCTTGTTTGTTATGCAGATGTGGTCGTGCCGTGTCACGAGAATGGCTGGATGGACGCCAACGGCGTCATACAATGGCTTGAGGAGTGCGTCAAGCCATTTCTAAAGCCTGGGTTCGGGAGGCATGCGCGGAGCTCGATGGTCGTACTGGACTCGTACCGCGGTCACCTCACTGATGCCGTTAAGGAGAAGTTTCGCGAGCTCAACTGCGTGCCGGCGATCATCCCGTCTGGCTGCACGGCGGAGGTACAGCCCCTCGACGTCTCCATCAACAAGAGCTTTAAGGCGAGCGTTCGCCAGCAGTATCAGAAGTGGTTTCAGGAAGAAGGCCAAGAACAGCTAACCAAAGCAGGTACGGTAGCCACGCGAGTCCCTAGACTACCGTAGAAGATTTTCCCCCCTTTTGTTGCGCTAACTACCGTCTCATTTCATGTGATTCTGTTGGTACAGGGAACTTGAAGAAGCCACCCCCAGAGGTGGTCGTGAGGTGGATCTCACGGGCTTGGAAAGCAGTGCCCGCCGACCTCATCAAGCGCGCCTTCCTCACCTGTGGCATCAGCAACGCGCTTGACGGCAGTGAGGACGGCCTCACCATGGCGCACAGGCGGAGCCAGCTGACCGCGGAGGTGGATGTCGATGACTCCATCATCGCCGATGGCTTCTTTGGCAACAACTGCCAGGAGCTAGAATCCGACGAGGAGGAGTAGATTTTCTAGGTAGAGATGCTAAACTTTGCAATATGTAGCTAGATAAAAATGTCAGTGATGATGTTGTAGGTGTAAAGTTAGCATGCTCATGTTTAGTGTTAATTAGAGATGTTTTTTTTGTAATGAGTTCTCCACAACGTGAAAAGGTGCGCTTATAATAAGTACACCCACCAGAGGGGGGGCGCTTATAATCGACTTCCGGCCATAAGCGCCATGCTCCAGATAGAAGCGCCGGCGCCCTTAATCGGACGGCGCCTATATCCGGGGCCATACGGTAAGTTGATAATAACAAAGAGATACAAGGCTTTACCGTATATGATTACAAGGAATATGAAAGGTTTAACTAACAGTAACTGCTGTTGCGGTTCGATACAGCGATGATTCGGGTAACTGCTCAATAGTGAGTCAGTTATGTGTCCTTGCCGTCGTGCTGCTTTTCAACGAGTCAAAGGTCGCTGACCTTTGACCTTCACTTAACTACTTGCTGTTGTCTTTCTGTCAACCGCTTTGGTTGACTCGCTGTTACTTCGCTGTAGTTCGCTTCGCTTACGTTGTAGTGCTCCACACCTCAGAAACATGAACTATATGTTTCCAACACTCCCCTTCGCTTCTGGAGTGTCATCGCCTTCGTTGCTGGTGACGTGGCCTTGTCCAGTCAGCAGC